TACCCCTAAGCCGTTGGAATACTGGTTGTAACAGCAAAATTGTCCATTTGTAAGATTAAGCTTTGAGCCGTTGTATCTTAGAAGTGATGAAAGATATCTTACTGGAATTCTCCGAGGTTTTTATAACACTACTGGAATCTACTTTGAGCAACTATGAATACATATTTCCTCTGAAAGCTTAAGAGAAAAATCGTGATGAAATTGATCATACATGAAAATGACATGTTCATCATTAATTAATCCTAACCTAAAGATCGGAAAGCTCATGAAGGATTGAAAATAAGTTTAATCATATATATATATATAGAGATATATATCCCAGGCTCATTTTCCAAGTTATTCAAGATCATCTTCGCCCTCTTTAACCTTCTAACTTTCTGTTCTGGAGTAACAAGGTGCCGCAAATGTTTCACGTCCGATTTCCTTTTCAAGTCTTTTTCACTTCTCTTTGGTCTGTCATAGCTGAAACTCCTCTCTCACGTGGCAAATGTCTTATGGAGTTGGATCTTTTCTAATTGATCTCTTTATCTCTAAGTTGAAATGATGATTCCTTCTGGTGTTGTGACCTCCTGATCCAGTTTTCTTCTCTACCGTTCCCTTTTTTAAACTTATTCCCCGTTCTCTTGATGGTTCTTGAATAGAATTTTAAGACGGAAGCCAGAGTGAATGTTCGTACAATTGCTGAAGGCTTGAATGATTTTTCCTCTGACCATTGCTCATTTGAGAAAACAGTGGAGCCGACACAAAGGATTTTTATTTGTTCTCTTTCTAGCTGAATAACTCAATGGGTTTTTCAGTAATTCTTACGGCAAATGATATCAAGATGGCTAAATGTCTTAACTGGAAACCGGAAAAAAGAAACTCAATTAGTTTAGTGGTTTTTTAGATATTAAACATTTTACGGGCTTGATAATGGGCTTGATTACACGATTTCGACAATTTTGCTGTTACACCCGAGAAATATATATATATATATAGTTTATGAAAACCTAGGTAATCCGTATGGGTAAACCCAAGTGGGATAAAATCCAGAGAGCTCAATGTAAATCCAGAGCAAATAATTTAAATAAAAACAGACCATTTTAAGGTTCAATGTAATAAATTATTTCACCACAGCCCTTTTAAAAGGACTGCAGATCATCAGACTTTACTTCCAAAGGTAGAAACGAAAAATGAAAAGAAATTTACACATTTTTGACGGGCCGTATTAAACATATGTAAATTAAAGAAGTGAGGAAGTAAGGGGGGAGAAGACATGAGTGAGTTAGATGTAATTTAATATTTCAGTTCTTTCATACTTAAAATTACTTGAGGAGGTCCAGACATTGGTCTGATGATCCGCAGTCCTTTAAAAGGGCTGTGGTGAAATAATTTATTACATGGAACCTTAAAGTGGTCTGTTTTTATTTAAATTATATATATATATATATATATATATATATTGATTAATACCCATTTAAAGTGCGTTAACATTTCAAGAATAAGACTGTAACACAGACACCATGAAGTATACAGGTGGAATCGACAAAACCAATGAAAGGAAAACATAGATATTAAACATTGGTACATACATAAACATTAACATTAACGCCATTAGATATACACGTTATATTTACGCTTCAAAAATTTCTGATGAAGCTAAATTTATGGCGCGAGACGTTAAATTTAAATGAGTTTTTCCTAATTTTTTTCAAACTGAAGTTGGCTAGAAATCATGAAGCCGGAAGCGAGAAGTGCGAGAAAAGAACCTATTAGCATAGAACATCCGGTTACATCTCGCCAGATCGACTTTAAAATGATGAGATATCGCCGGATGCTACCTGAATTTTACCAAAAACAAAACAATTTTCATGCATGAGGAAGACTGGGCGTACCGTCGAAAGTACCGAATACAGTTTATAATTTTAAAAAAAAAACAACAAGGATCATAACATTCATCGAGTGATTAGTAGGTTAATGCATCTTTAAAATTTTGTTAGCGAAGGGATTTCGCCATTTTATATCATTAACTTTACCAATTTAATTTTTGTATGAATGATTCATTGTAATATAAATTGAACTGCAACACATATTTGATCTATCTATCTATCTATCTATCTATCTATCTATCTATCTCATGTTGCCTGTCTGTGTGTCTGTCGTGGGCGTTGTTACCTCGCCCAGGCCGCATTTCTCACCCGATTTCGATGTGGTTTTCACCACAAGTTTACAAATGGCTGCCGTAAGGACATGACGGAGCCGTATTTTTGAGTTTGGACTCAGGTTCCGAAAAAATCGATAATCGAAAAAATCTGCTTACAGAAGGAATGATCGCATTTCAACCAAATTTGACACCATCTTAAAGTCTACCATTAGAAGTGTTTCATGACCACGGACCCCTAAACAGCGCGAAAAATAGATAAAACCCAAAAATACGCTCAGATTCCGCCTGAACCGCATGTCGGTTTTTAGCAAAAACCGAGCGGATTTATGGAGAGGCCATTGGGAGTCAACATGTGAAGTTTCAACTCTCAGCGCCTCCCAAACAGAGTGCAAATCGACAATCGGTAAACCCGTTTGGTTATTTCCTAATTGCAGGTTAATTTAAGGCCACGCTATGCGCGGGAAGAAACAGGTCAGTGCGTGCAGTGGAGTGAAAGAAAACATTTGACCTCAAATTCTGGAATGGGTGCAGGGACATTGAAATTCGGCTTTTTATCCCTGCTAATTAGTCTGACTTTGAGCCACAAATGACATATTCGACTTTGTCAACACTTTTGCTTTAATGGTCGCATCTTACCAAAATAAGCACTTCTTTTATTCGCGTCTTTACTGAAAAACGAAAAAACACGCATACGTACTGGGGGAAAATGGTTCCGCCCTCAGCAGTTCATTTTTTTCAATTCTTTAAACCTTTTCCCCTAGCCCAGGCCGCAACCCAGACCTGACGAGGAGTTTTTGCGCTAAAACAGCAGGGCTTCCTCCCAATCCATTTCAAAGCTAATGCCGGCAAACGGTTAGCGGCTTTTCGTTGTCGCACAAACCAAACGAGCAAACGCTTCATTGCAGCTGCTTGCATTCTCACCGCCGGCATCATGTGCGTTAGAGCCAAGCTGCATATGCAGCAGACAGCTTGACCCCGTTTACGGCCAAGCCTTGCCAAATCAAGCGCGTGCGTGAATGCGCGATAGCATCTTCCATTTTGCCTGAGCTCATTCATTGGTCTACGTCATGGCCATTCTCCAGGCTACACCAATCAATGAAAAGTCACGCTTCCTTTAAATACCTTCAGAGCTGCTGCATCCGCACTAACGTATAGATTTGATCGCCATTAACGCATCTGTCCTTGGATTAATTGACGGCTTCCTGTTAACGCAAGTTACCTATTTTCTTAAACGTTTGCATTACCCATTTTATAAGTTGAAGTGTACTGCCTTTACTACGCGGCCCAGTACACCACAGTACTTCACTGCCTATTTGTTTAAATGTTTGCATTACCCATTTTATCTCCGCGTGCTGCCTTTACTGCGCAGCCCAGTCCATCTTAGCGTTCCATACCTGTTTCTACCTTTTCGTAGTTCAGTTTTGCTATTAGACAGTTAACTGCTGCCGCAAGTTACCTCTCTTCTGCCTTTACTACGCGGCCCAGTACACCTCAGTGTTTCACTACTTTTTAACCTTCAACGCTTCAACGTTTTGGTTGCGTAACCTCTTCCTACAGCGACGTTTTCGTGCTGCCAGAAAGCACGGCCCACAGATAGGAGAAGCTTTTTCCATACGGCTCCACTGCATTTTTAGTTTTCGTATACAACGAGGTTACACCGCTTCAGCTTCGGCATCAACTTCTATTCGCATTCTTACACAGCATTTCTACAACCCTTCAAATGGCTACTACAAGACGAACATCCGCACGTCACCAACTGAAGACCCCTAATACCGTTAACGTTACACATGGAGAACAGGCGACTGCGGAGGAGAACATAATAACCCCTGTTACAGATGATCATACGGCGTCTCCTTCAACCTCTGCTTTGCAATCTTCTGTGTGCCGTGGCGATGACCAAAGGCTGCAAAAACACACAGGCGAAGCAACCTTAGCATGCGTTCTCAAAAAGCTTCATCAGCTAAGCGGAAACGTGAGCAGACATATATATATATATATATATATATATATATATATATATATATATATGTCTTCATTTCTGAGATGAGGTATTATGTACATTATTTACCTTATTCGGACTATTGTCATCATCCTTGTCGCCATATTTGTTAACACGTTTCGGCCGTTGCACGCTCCGGCCTTCTTCAGGTAGTTGGAATGTCGAACTTTATTTCGTTCAGTTATCAGTTATCTCCTATTAATTTCCCTTTGTGGATAAATATCAAGGACAGAGTGTGAATTTTCATTTAATCTTTTGGAAGTGTTATCTGATGATCCCTTAAAAGGGCTCTGGTGAAATTAATTATTATAATGGAACCTTAAAGTGGTCTGTTTTTCTTTAAATTGTTAGCTCTGGATTTACATTGAGCTCTCAGGATTTCATCCTCCTTGAGACTACCCACACGGATTACCAAGTTTTTCATAACTATATATATATATATATATATATATATATATATATATATATATATGTGTGTGTGTGTTTGTCTTTCGCAGAGAGCACTGTTTTGCAGCTTTTCGGCGCGACTAGACAACCGAAGCCTGAATCGAAACCCAACCGATTTTGTGTCAGTCAGAGCTTCTACCATTGAGCCATCTTCACTCGACAGAATGAGTCAGCCAAATCTAGCGTATTGTTTTTACAAACGTAAACAAACGCCAAGCAGCCGTAGTGCTCCATTCATTTTACTGAAGAGCTTCGCATTTACGCAGGGGGGGGGGGTCGTTGTTTTTAGAATTGGCTTGTCATTCAACTGTATATATATACTTTACAACTGGAATTAAGATAACATTAGTTAATGATCATTTTCGCCTACGAATTTCTGGTATCAGTTTGTAGTGGAACACTCCTTAACTC